CCGCCAACAGCCTTCCATCACATGTGAATGATAGAGAGAAAAAAAATATTAACAAATACAAATAATAAACACACACACACTAAAGCTGGGAAGAGAGATAGACAAACCAAGCCACAAACCATCGTGTGTGGCTTGGCTTGTTATGTGGGCTTTAATTGTTCTCGTGTCTCTTCTTCTTCTTCTTCTTTATCAGTTAACTATAACGTCTTCCTTGTCCGTTTGTGAGTTATGCTACGGATTATAATGATCGCTGTAAGCAATTGTCTCCCAGGATGTTTAACCATTCGATGCCGAGATAAGATAAGTTATCTCTTGAGTGATAACTACCCGATGATCAGGCCTGATAACACCCCCCTGTTAGACGATGAGAATTAAAGAGCACCGGAGTAGGTGTCTTGGTCCATATAGGCGGGTCCTGTTTACATTCATCCCCCTCTCTCTGTTGGTCCATATAGGCGGGTTCTGATTATACTCATTCCCCTCTCTATTGGTCCATATAGGCGGGTCCTGATTATACTCATTCCCCTCTCTATTGGTCCATATAGGCGGGTCCTGATTATACTCATTCCCCTCTCTATTAGTCCATATAGGCGGGTCCTGATTATACTCATTCCCCTCTCTATTGGTCCATATAGGCGGGTCCTGATTATACTCATTCCCCTCTCTATTGGTCCATATAGGCGGGTCCTGATTATACTCATTCCCCTCTCTATTGGTCCATATAGGCGGGTCCTGTTTACACTTAATCCCCTCTCTATTGGTCCATATAGGCGGGTCCTTTTTACATCCCATCTGTTGTCCAGCCACTTGGGCTGGACGGTAGAGCGACGGTTTCGCTTCATGCAGGTCAGCGTTCAATCCCCGACCGTCCACAAGTGGTTTGGGCACCATTCCTTCCCCCCGTCCCATCCCAAATCCTTATCCTGACCCCCCTTCCAAGTGTTATATAGTCGTAATGGCTTTGCGCTTTCCCCCACCAGTCACAGCCCCGCTCCTGCGCCAGGTAAGGCCACTACGGGCTCACCATAGCCCGTGCTACTTGGAACTTTTTGTTCCAAGTAGCAAATCTTAAACAACAACAACATGCGCTTTCCCCTGATAATTCTCCCTCTGTTGGTCCATACTAGGCTGTGTGTGTGTGTGTACTCACCTAATTGTGCTTGCGGGGGTTGAGCTTTGGCTCTTTGGTCCTTTGGTGTGTGTGTGTGTGTGTGTGTGTGTGTGTGTGTGTGTGTGTGTGTGCGCGCGTGCTTGCATGAGGCGCTGAAGGAGGAGAGGTGGACCAGCCAAGCGGGTGATCAGATTTAGCGAGTGCTTGACGGGTTCCTCTCGCAAGATCTGTCTCGTTGCTTCGCCTGGTGGAAGGTGATGTGTTTATATAAACACTTCTGGGCCCTTTATAGGTGGAGACCGACGTCACTGTGAGAAGGTTAGGTTAGGGTATGACGGTATAGGTTAGGTTAGGTTAGGTTAGGTTAGGTTAGGTTAGGTTAGGTTAGGGTATGACGGTATAGGCTTTACGGTATGACGGTAAACAGGTTTTTAAGGGGAAACAAATGTCGTGGATTATCGTGTACTTATCTAGTTGTGCTTGCCGGGGGTTGAGCTCTGGCTCTTTGGTCCCGGTGTCTGTGTGTGTTCACCTAGTTGTGTTTGCGGGGGGGGGGGTTGAGCTTTGCTCTTTCGACCCGCCTCTCAACTCTCAATCAACTGTTTACTAACTACTTTTTTTCCACACCACACACACATACACACACACACCCCAGGAAGCAGCCCATGACAGCTGACTAACTCCCAGGTACCTATTTACTGCTAGGTAACAGGGGCATTCAGGGTGAAAGAAACTTTGCCCATTTGTTTCTGCCTCGTGCGGGAATCTAACCCGTGACACAGAATTACGAGTCCTGCGCGCTATCCACCAGGCTACGAGGCCCCTCTCGTGTTATAATCCAGTCGGGGTTGGCCCCAGTAGCGCCCTCTAAGAAATATTGCCATCTATAGCGACACCCATGAGATTTTCATGGCGTTTAAAATTGGGTGTGCTCTTTCCGTAGAGTTATTGGTTTGTAGTACTTCGACATATTCCATTTTCTGTGAGGAAAGGGAAAGAATGGTATGAAAGGAAGATGGAGGAGAGGGGCATGCTGGAAGAGTCTGGGGAAAGAAAGGGGAAGAGGGGGGAAATAGGGAAAGGGGGAGGGGGGGTACAGGGAAAGAAAGAAAGAAGGTACGGGATTGAGGGAGAGAGAAATCCTTAACTAAAATCCTTAAAGTAAATATAATACAATAACCAAGATCCCTAAACTAGTAGAATACAATGATCAAGATCCCCAAGACCAATAGGTTAGGGATCTTAGTTAAACTAATAGCTTAAGAGGTCTTAGCTATTGTCTTCTAATAGTTTAGGTATCTCGGTTATTGCATTCTAATCGAATACAATAACTAAAATCTATTAGCAAATCTAACCCCTAAGATATCCAAAAATACAACAAATTGACCCATAATCAAGGTCAGACATATTATAAAGTAACTGTTGAATACAACTGGTTGCGTGTAGTAGCTTATTCATCACAGGAGATAACGATTTGCTAATGTATCAAAGAGGGAGATGTCTCAATGAGGCGATGCCTCAATGAGGGGGATGCCTCAATGAGGCGATGCCTCAATGAGAGATGCCTCATGTCTGCACAAGTAGGATACACTCTCAAGATTGTATCATGTCTGTCACAGAGTCTCAGAGGAATCTGCAGCGATTATTGTGAGAGTGATGATGTATTATGCTCGGAGCTTAGAGCGTGAGATTAAAGCTTAGAGCATGAGGTTAGAGCTTAAAGAGAGAGAGAGAGAGAGAGAGAGAGAGAGAGAGAGAGAGAGAGAGAGAGAGAGAGAGAGAGAGAGAGAGAGAGAGAGAGAGAGAGAGGTAGGTTAGATGTTAAAGGGACCGTGAGGTTAAAGACAAGATGGAGCACGAGGCTAGACGTTGGAGGTAATATAAGGTTAGATATGACAGGAAGTATAAAGTTGGATATCATAGAGAGTATAAGGGTTAGATAACACTCTTAAGTTACCTTGTGTTCTGTTACTTTACCTGTCTAATTTATTTCCATGAAATATTGTAATTATATTCCAGGCAGGTTAGCGGAAGAATGAGAAACTTTTAAAAATGTGAAATTTTAAATTTTTAATCAATTAATAAATAAAGCATTCTGACACTAACATAATCTTTATCGCTCATTTTGATATCACGTTGAAGCAATAACTTTGGTCTGAAAACAAAATGGATATCGTCTTTTGTGGGGCTCAGCTGCTGATATCACCATTTGCTATGCGCTTTCCGCATCGTTGGTGTTTACGCGTGTCGTGTCTAGCAGCCCGGGACCACGAGCTGAGCCTAACCTCCCCTGACAAGCGGTGGGTGAAAGGAACATTGCTATTGCGTTCCTCTCCATGTCTTACACACACACACAATAAATAAGTAAGTTCATCATCCAAATAAAATACCGTTTTCTATTAATTTCATAAAAACAAAAAATCAATAAATGCTAAAAATTCACGATCTGTGTAATGGACTTCTCAAATCTTATTTAATAACTTTATCTACACTATTTTCTTCGTTGATGTCTCAGGAGGTAACTATATAGAGACTATATATACTATATGTTGGTGAATGATGTGTTGCGAGTCATATATTGCCTTAGCATCTTCTTGAGGTTATCTTGAGATGAGAGTCTCAACACAGCATCAATATCAGCATAGTGCTAATCAACTTCGCTGTCGTAGGTTCATTATTGAGGCTCTGATTAGTACAATTGCACAGTATTAACTGTATCAAGATCTATCTATACACCTTTCTAGGTTTTCTCCTGTGTGTCTATCAATTAATAATTCTGTATACGAAGTGTATGTATGTTTGGGTGAATTGGGAGTATGTATTTCACCAAACAATTGTTTCGGTATGTGTGTATAGTATTGTATGCATGCATGTACGTATGCATATCTGTAAATATATATGTATATATGTATGAATGAATGCATGTACGTATGTATAACTATTCATGCATGCATTCATGCATGTACGTATGCATGCATTCATGCGTGTATATATATATATATATATATATATATATATATATATATATATATATATATATATATATATATATATATATATATATATATATATATACGTAAACATATATATGAGCGAGCAAGTGCATGCCATCAGTGCAACACTCCGGCACGCAAGAGCCGCGGTTACTCTCTGGGGTTGATGCGTGGCCTGACCCCGCACGCTTCCTGGGGTCAGTGTTGGCCTGCAGTGTTCCAGCAGCTGTCTCTCTCTCTCTCTCTCTCTCTCTCTCTCTCTCTCTCTCTCTCTCTCTCTCTCTCTCTCTCTCTCTCTCTCTCTCTCTCTCTCTCTCTCTCTCTCTCAGCAGGCATCCCTGACATCCATCACTCACCACCAAGACAGTCTTGTGTGAGTCAGGTCATCGGGTCATGCACCTAATCACATAACCTTCTCCAATCTGTGATGACCCCAGATGTACAGGCTAAATTGCTTTATTCAATATGGACGGTCCCAATCTCAGGTACATATTGATTTAGGAAGGAAATATTGCACCTGGATTGTTTATGAGCTCCCAATAATACTTTGTAATAGTATTTTGCCTAGATATGGATGGCTGAATAATATCGTTGAGTTAATTGTTTTTAACTTGATCTCTACCGCGTCGATTTGATTTTATTGCCTTAATAAATCATTCAGTGGGATCCCGGAGTTCCTATATTCATTTACAGAAACAATTATCGTAAATTTTACGAGTGAGCTAAATATGGACGAGCATATAAATGTATTAGATGTTCATCAACAACAAAATAACAGCTTCAAACTATTAATTCTTCGCTAGTTTCTTTTTATTTTGTATTATTATTTTTTTTTCGTTTTAATTTACAGATTCATATGTTTTAACAATCTCTAGTTTTCCCGTTATTTTATTTTGTTATTTTCCCGATATCTTTGAATTTCCCGCCATATCTGGTTTTTCCGCCATATCTGGTTTTCCCGCCATATCTGGTTTTCCCGCCATATCTGGTTTTCCCGCCATATCTGGTTTTCCCGCCATATCTGGTTTTCCCGCCATATCTGGTTTTCCCGCCATCTTTGATTTTCCCGCCATCTTTGATTTTCCCGCCATCTCTGCTTTTCCCGCCATCTCTGATTTTCCCGCCATCTCTGATTTTCCCGCCATCTTTGGTTTTCCCGCCATCTTTGGTTTTCCCGCCATCTTTGGTTTTCCCGCCATCTTTGATTTTCCCGCCATATCTGATTTTCCCGCCATATCTGATTTTCCCGCCATCTTTGGTTTTCCCGCCATCTCTGCATTCTCGCCAGCCTTTACCATGTATCCTGCTGTTCTTGCCTAACTCACAGGCAGGAAGGGCAGCTTACAGGATCATGATATATCACAGCTGTGCATCACTTCTTCACCATCCCCTCCCCTCCCCCTCTTCACCCCCCCCCCCCCCCCTAAGCAACGCCCTCCTCCCCCACCACCCACCCCTGATACCGTCGTTTTTCAGGGGAATCTATGTAAATAATTCCGGGTGCGTCGGAGCGTGCGCCGATACACAGACCTCAAACCCGGACCCGGTAAATGGCAGTCTTATCCGTGGTGTCAGACACAGCCTGGCGTGCCGTGCACTTATGCCGTAGTTTATGTGTTCCACAAAGGTGAATTCATATGAGCATTGCAAGCTGCATTGCTTGGCCGCATGCTGACCATCCCTGTTGGAGCGGTGTGTAGCCTAGTCTGCTCGTTGGGACAGGTTTGAGCGATGTGTCGACTCGTGTGTTTTTGCGTGTGTTCGTGTCGGCGCGCGTTCATTTATGCACGCAAGAGCGTTGATGGCCGTGTAAGTATTATTCACACTTGCCAGAGCGTGCTGGACGCCTATATATATCCCGGCGCGTGCCAACACGCGAATCCAATCGCGTGACCGCGCGAGTAACCGAGCACGCTAATCCGCAAAGAGAGTGCCCATACAGGCTGTGATAATGAAATCCAGCGCAAAACATTACAGTGCGCACCCGCGCACCTACCAGTGCCCCCCCCCCCAGACACCTGCCTTCCTCTCACGAAAGTCCAGTGCGCACACCCCTCCTCCCACATGTACATCTCAATGTTCATCCATGCGCATCTCAGCGCACCCCTTCCCCCCCAACACTTCGTGACTGCGCGGTCCCCCTGAACGCTATGGCTGTGTTGCTCCAGCTGTTGCCCCAGCTGTTGCTCCCAGCTGTTGCCCCAGCTGTTGCTCCCAGCTGTTGCTCCAGCTGTTGCCCCAGCTGTTGACCTCTCTTGACCGACCGCGAGGGCGTGACCCGGGTCAGCAAGTGTCAGAGCTCCATCCTGGTGCTTGACGACACCGGTAGGTAGAAGTGCCCCTTAAGTGACACTACCAGAAGGGCTTGAGGTACTCTTTGAGGAGTCTTAGAGGGTTAGAGAACTCTTGAAGGACGGGGGGGGGAGAGGGGGAGTTGACCACCTGACCTTGTTTGACCCCGTTTTTTGCTTCTTCTTTTTTCTTATCGTTGAGCTGAACCAACTACAAGAATGAAGCCTCGGTCGTTAATGATCTCTCTCAGTAGTTAAACCCTCTGTAGGACCTCTGTCTCTCTCTCTCTCTCTCTCATCTACACTCCCAGGAAGGTTTCTCAATATACCAACATCCTTGGAAGGGTCTTTGTCACTCTTTTCACGCTCTCAATAGCGTCTTTCAATCTGCCAATTATTCTTTAAATATTCCTACTCTTCATCCCTCAGGAAATTGTCACTCTACTCCTACGTTTGGAGATGTTTTTCATTCTACTTTCGCCTTCAGAGTTTTCTCCCATATTCTAATTATATTCTCACTCTAACTTTTCTAAAGTCTCTCTCTCTCTCTCTCTCTCTCTCTCTCTCTCTCTCTCTCTCTCTCTCTCTCTCTCTCTCTCTCTCTCTCTCTCTCTCTCTCTCTCTCTCTCTCTCTCCCTCTTCCTCTCTCCTTACACTCTAAGTTGAGTTGCAGATTCTCTACCTACACTCTCAGAATTCTTCACCTACCTTACACACGCAGCACATTCACACTTCCTACTTCCTCAGTAGCCTCTCGTCTTCCCCCCCACCCCCCTCTTCATCTTCATCTTTTGTATCAATTTGAGGCATAAAGTTCCACCTTGAAAGGTAAATGTTTATCCACAGTAATGTCGTATGATAACAGCATGTGGGGTTTATGGAAGAGTACGGTGGAGGAGGCGTGGTATATATATATATATATATATATATATATATATATATATATATATATATATATATATTTTATTAAATATGACCGAAAAAGTAAGATTAATAATTCTAACACGAATTTTCTCAATCTTTCGTACATTATGCTTCACTGTTGGAGGTAAATCAAAAATCACTTCTCCAAAATTCATTTTTATTTCTAGTCTGACGCGACACGGGCGCGTTTCGTAAAACTTATTACATTTTCAAAGACTTCACAAATACACAACTGATTAGAACTTGCATTTCCCTGATTTTATATCTACTTTTGAGTGAGGTGGGAAGGGTGATGTGGCATTACATTTGAGTGAGGTGGGAAGGATGATGTGGCATTAGAGGATATTAATAGGGTATTAAAAGTATCAACACAAGACAGAACACGAAACAATGGAAATTGAATAGAAGTGTTTGTAGAAAGCCTATTGGTCCATATTTCTTGATGCTTCTATATTGGAGCGGAGTCTTGAGGTGGGTAGAATATAGTTGTGCAATAATTGGCTGTTGATTGCTGGTGTTGACTTCTTGATGTGTAGTGCCTCGCAAACGTCAAGCCGCCTGCTATCGCTGTATCTATCGATGATTTCTGTGTTGTTTACTAGGATTTCTCTGGCGATGGTTTGGTTATGGGAAGAGATTATATGTTCCTTAATGGAGCCCTGTTGTTTATGCATCGTTAAACGCCTAGAAAGAGATGTTGTTGTCTTGCCTATATACTGGGTTTTTTGGAGCTTACAGTCCCCAAGTGGGCATTTGAAGGCATAGACGACGTTAGTCTCTTTTAAAGCGTTCTGTTTCGTGTCTGGAGAGTTTCTCATGAGTAGGCTGGCCGTTTTTCTGGTTTTATAGTAAATCGTCAGTTGTATCCTCTGATTTTTGTCTGTAGGGATAACGTTTCTATTAACAATATCTTTCAGGACCCTTTCCTCTGTTTTATGAGCTGTGGAAAAGAAGTTCCTGTAAAATAGTCTAATAGGGGGTATAGGTGTTGTGTTAGTTGTCTCTTCAGAGGTTGCATGGCTTTTCACTTTCCTTCTTATGATGTCTTCGATGAAACCATTGGAGAAGCCGTTATTGACTAGAACCTGCCTTACCCTACAGAGTTCTTCGTCGACTTGCTTCCATTCTGAGCTGTGGCTGAGAGCACGGTCGACGTATGCGTTAACAACACTCCTCTTGTACCTGTCAGGGCAGTCGCTGTTGGCATTTAGGCACATTCCTATGTTTGTTTCCTTTGTGTAGACTGCAGTGTGGAAACCTCCGCCCTTTTCCATGACTGTTACATCTAGAAAAGGCAGCTTCCCATCCTTTTCCGTCTCGTAAGTGAAACGCAGCACGGAACTCTGCTCAAATGCCTCCTTCAGCTCCTGCAGATGTCTGACATCAGGTACCTGTGTAAAAATGTCGTCAACATACCTGCAGTATATGGCCGGTTTCAAGTTCATGTCGACTAAGACTTTTTGCTCGATGGTACCCATGTAGAAGTTTGCAAACAGGACACCTAGGGGAGAACCCATAGCGACCCCATCTACTTGCTTATACATATGCCCATCCGGGCTCAAGAAGGGTGCCTCTTTAGTACAAGCTTGGAGTAGTTTCCTCAGAATACTTTCTGGCATGTCAAGAGGAGTACAGGCTGGATCACGATACACTCTGTCGGCTATCATTCCGATTGTCTCGTCCACAGGTACGTTGGTAACCAGCGATTCTACGTCCAACGAGGCTCTTATCCCTGTGGCCCGTGCGCCCCGCAGTAAGTCCACAAATTCCTTTGGAGACTTCAGGCTGAAGGCGCAAGGAACATAAGGAGTCAGCAGGCCGTTGAGTCGCTTTGCCAATCTGTACGTGGGTGTGGGTATCTGGCTAATGATTGGCCGAAGTGGGTTTCCAGGCTTGTGCGTCTTGACATTTCCATACGCATATCCAGGTTTATATTCCCCAATGATCTTTGGCAGGTGGAGTCCGGATTTCTTGGCGTTCACAGTTTCGATCAGTTTGTTGACCTTTGCTTTTAATTCGGCTGTAGTGTCCTTCGTTACCCTTTGGAACTTAGTTTGGTCAGAGAGTATGATGTTCATTTTCGCCAGATATTCGTCTTTTTTAAGAATGACATATATTGGCGACTTGTCACCTCTCCTGACAACTATCTCCTTGTTCTCGCGAAGGCTTTTAGCTGCCGCTCTAAGCTCGGGGGACAGTATGGTGCTTCTGTAGTTGCCTCGATTCTTTCCTCCTTCTGCAATAAGTTCTGCTTGTAAGGTATCTTTGGTAGTGACCTTCTTTTGTGTCTCGAGGTCGAATATGTCGTCCAACAGAATTTCCAACTCCACTTTCCGGGCCATTTCACTCGGTCTGGACATAACATGACAGTTTATGCCCAGATTTAGGAGAGTGACTTGGTCCTCAGTGAGGTTAATTCCTGCAAGGTTCAGGAAGCCATCTCTTGGTCGTGGAATTGCCATAGTACTCCAAGCTTGTACTAAAGAGGCACCCTTCTTGAGCCCGGATGGGCATATGTATAAGCAAGTAGATGGGGTCGCTATGGGTTCTCCCCTAGGTGTCCTGTTTGCAAACTTCTACATGGGTACCATCGAGCAAAAAGTCTTAGTCGACATGAACTTGAAACCGGCCATATACTGCAGGTATGTTGACGACATTTTTACACAGGTACCTGATGTCAGACATCTGCAGGAGCTGAAGGAGGCATTTGAGCAGAGTTCCGTGCTGCGTTTCACTTACGAGACGGAAAAGGATGGGAAGCTGCCTTTTCTAGATGTAACAGTCATGGAAAAGGGCGGAGGTTTCCACACTGCAGTCTACACAAAGGAAACAAACATAGGAATGTGCCTAAATGCCAACAGCGACTGCCCTGACAGGTACAAGAGGAGTGTTGTTAACGCATACGTCGACCGTGCTCTCAGCCACAGCTCAGAATGGAAGCAAGTCGACGAAGAACTCTGTAGGGTAAGGCAGGTTCTAGTCAATAACGGCTTCTCCAATGGTTTCATCGAAGACATCATAAGAAGGAAAGTGAAAAG